AGAGATTGAGCAGCCGTATATCTAGATGATAAATCATCCAATTGAAATTTCAATTCATTATTTTCTTGTTTCAATGTGGCAGAATTTAATAATGCCTGTTCCAATGAACGTTCCATGCTTTCTTTAGATTCTAATACGCTAGTAGCAGCTACATATTTGGAGGTAATCTCATCTAATTGAATTTTATGCAATTCGATCTGTTCTTTCAATAATTCTTTCTCCTTTATATTATTTAGTTCCTGCAAGCGACGTGAATTTTCCGCTTGTATTTGAAGTTCTTCGAGTTTGGAATTAAATATATCAGCTTCAGCTTGAGCTCTATTTTGAGCCTCCGAACGATTTACTAATTCAAGTTTTAAAGTCTCAACAGTTTTCTTATAATGTGCCAACTGTACTTGAAAAACAGATAATTCTTTGGCATGTCTACTTTCTAAATCTGGTAATTCTTTATTTAAACGATCAGCTAATAATTTATTTTCTTCTTTCAATGACTGTAAATGTTCTTCATATTTCAGACAAATATTTTTTAATTCGCTTTCATGTTTTGTTGTTAAATCCTAAAGAAAAGTATTTAAAGAAATCACATATTATTTAAATAATTACATATGAATAAATTCAAAGGTTATATCTTAAAAGCAAACCTTTATCTCCTGCTGATGTCGAGCAGTATTGGTATTGGTTTCAGCTGTAAATTTCTCTAAAATATGTTGCATATCTTGTTTTATTTTATCAACGCGTGCTTCGTATTGCTTTTGTTGTTCCAACATCTCTGCAATGTTTAAATTTTTTTCAGCAGCACCAACGCGTATTTGTTCATTTAAATTATTAATTTGTATTTTATAATCACTGATCTCAGCATTTCGCGTTTCCTTTTCCATTTCCAACGTCTGAACATGTTTATGAATTTGTGCCAATTGAGAATTCAATTTATTTATGACAGTTTTTTGATTGGTTAAAGTAGTTTCTAACATATCAATCTAGAGTAAAATAAATATTTCTTATAGTATCAAAGAAAAATGATAAAAAAAAAACATTTAACTTACTTTTTCTTGCAAATTCATACTATGCATGCTTCTTGGGCTAGATTCCCTTGCTGCATTCAGAGAATTAAGTTGATTTACAAGTGCATCTCTGGCAGACAATGCTTGTTCCAAAGAAGACGTCAAATCTTCTATTAGATTATCTCTTTGATTGATTGCTTTTTCAAATTCTTGTAACTATTGGATAAGAAGCAAACAAATGTGGTGATAAATAAAATATTCAATAATATATTAGTTACATTGAATTTTTATAAATCTAAGAAATAAACTTGACTTACTTTAGTATGATATAAACATATAACATCTCTACTAGGAATACTGCTACTGCTATTATGACTTTGCGAGGAGTTTGGAGAAGATGTTTCTCCTCGTAGATGATCAATTTCTGCATTTAATGCTGCAACAATGGCTTCTTTACCCTGCAATAGTTCTTCTAATTCAGCTACACGTCCTGCCATACCTTCTAAATCTCTATCAGCTTCTCCTTCACTCATACTAACACTACTTTGTGTAATATCTCTCGAAGACATAACTTCATTAGTCTGAAATAGATCAGAATGAAAAAATACATAATATTTGCAATAGATGTGAAAATGAGGAGTACGTATAAATGAAATAGAAGTATGCAGAACACACAGATACGTATTAAAAACAAAATAAAAGTACAAATGCGATCTTACAAATGATCCTCTTTGGTCCATTGATTTATCATTATGATAAGATTCTTCGTCAGACTGTTCATCTGTCTGAACATAATGCATTCCTTGTGTTTTATTTGATCGTGTTATTTTATATTTTTCCAACTAAAATAATTAAATTAAACGATTAAATATATAAGCCCTGTCGTATATCGCTTATATTTACATTACGACTTTCATTATCATTATCATGCAGAAATATTATTGATTTTAAAAGCAAAAATGAAAAATTAGAAAAAAGTAGGAAACATTGTTTTCAATCTATTACTCAGATTTCTTTTAATAGACACAATGTTTTCTATCAAACAACAAAACATAATATATTCGTAGAAAGAGGAAAAAGGTTGTCTTAGCCAAATCAAGTAAGAATAAATAAATGATAGATTTATATAAACATACCAAATCTCTGCCAGCCTCCAATGAACGTTTTCTACGCTCATCTTCTTCCGACATAGTGCTCATTTAATTAAAAATAATATTATCTATTAACGATTAACAATCTTAAATATTGAATAACTTTTGAATTGTTACTTATTAAGTAACAATCTTTCACTATTAAATTAACTACATTTCAAATAGCATTTGCTTTATCACACTACGTTCGTCGAGTTAAATCCGTTAGATTATTTCTATCCCGTTACTTATTTCACTAAAATTACAAACTCCCTGGCGTCCAATAAAATCACGAAATTATTCAATCTAGATGCACTTCCGGTGATATTAAAAAATTATATTGGTAGAAAAAATACAACTTTAAAGGATTATTTTTTTAGATTATAAAATAATTCCATTGCACTACTCGATAAGAGTATTAATAAAATAACGTCAATAACGCGTATATTAAATAATTTGATTAATGGAAAAGAGAAAAATAACGCTCCTTACGTAAACGTTGCTTGCGAATGAGGCCTAACGTCCTCTGCTTTCAAACTTCACGTGTCTCCATTCCCACCCCTTCTCACTTTTTCCTTCTCTTTTCATTTCATCAATTGGACTATACTTTCATTTATTGTTTCTCCTTGTCTAACGCATTACAAGCCGTGCGCGATGAATTTGAACTTGTGGTTTAAAGTAACAGAAAAAAAACGGGACAAAGTGGGCTAAGAAGACGACGAACAAAGAACAGTTTATATATAATTTTAACAATAATCGTTTATATGTTGTATCAGATAATTTGTTTTGTCTAGTTTACTATTCAAAGTGAAAGATATTTTATTTTTTAAATAACTTGAAAACGCATTAATATTAAAAATAAAAACAAACGATGGATTCTACTGATATATTACACATTGAAATTTTACAAAAATCTGAAAGGTAAGATCTATATTTTAATTGCTCTCTTTTATATATACATATATATCTTTCTAATGTTTTATAATAACAACAATATTTATGGCATCTTAATTTAGATTATTTGAATGAAAATATAAAAGTATTTTAAGATTGTTATTAATAGTTTGTTTTACTATTAGTTTTATTGTAAGTTGTTGTCACACATATTGTTTTTCTTTAAGTGCATTGTCAGAAGAGGAAATACGAACAATCATAGAGAATGAAATACTTAAATTGGAGGAAGTCATATTAGACGTGGAATTACCAATTACCTTATCTGATCATTCTAAAGATCATATTGAATCTGTATTATGTGCTTGCAATAACAATGTATGTTTCAAATATCTTTAATAATGGAAAGTATTATTACTATTTAAAATTATTTTTATTATTTTTGATATGATGTTTATTTATCTTAGAAAACACGTATGAAAATTGCTGGAGCCAATTTACAATATCATATATATAGAATGACAGAAAGCGAATCTGCAATGTCAATTATAGAAAATGGTAATGAAGAATTACCAGCAGCAAATCAGTGGCTTTTACCTTCTAAAGAATTTCATTATCTGTGGGAAAACATGTATTATGATTCGAATATAAAGCAAAATGTAACCTAAGTGTATATTCTTTCTTCTTTTATCTTTGTATATTTATTTGTTTTAATCAAAATTTCTTTTTTCTTTCTTTCTTTTAGTTATTAAATTTTGTAGAAACAGCATTAATATTTTCTGATAATCAAATAAATCCTAATATCATATCATGGAATAAAGTAGTATTACTACATGGACCTCCAGGCAGTGGAAAGACTAGCTTATGTAAAGCGCTGGCTCAAAAAATTGCAATTCGTTTTGGACATCGATTTACATATGTGCATTTAATAGAAATAAATAGTCATAGTTTATTTTCAAAATGGTTTTCCGAGGTAAATTATCTCTCTTCTATTGTTATATAAAGATGGAAAATTAAGTATCTTACAAATAAGAATTTATTTTATTTCAGAGCGGAAAATTGGTTATGAAATTATTCGATGAACTTAAAACTATTCACAATGATTCTAACCGGTTAGTTTGTATTTTAATCGATGAGGTAGAATCATTAGCACACACTCGTAAATCCTGTGTTAATGGAACAGAACCTACAGATTCTATACGCGTAGTAAATGCTTTACTCACCCAACTGGATCAAATGAAACATTATCCAAATGTTTTAATTCTTACAACAAGTAACATGACCGAAGCCATTGATTTGGCATTTGTAGATCGTGCAGATATAAAACAATATATCGGCCATCCCACAGAAGATTCTATATACAAAATATATACTGCTTGCATAAATGAATTAATGAGGGTACTTCATTATTATTTTATATCACATAATAAATAACATATCACATAATAAGTAATTGTTAAAATTTTCAGACTGGACTGATAGAGATGGAAGAAATACATAATCTTGCTTATCTCAAAGTTCATGGTTATGAAGAAAATTATGAGACAAAACGCTCTTTAATACTGCTGGAAATAAGTAAACAAAGTTATGGTCTAAGTGGACGTACATTAAAAAAGATACCATTTTTAGCAAAAGCACTTTATATACATTCAAAGAAATCTACATTAGCTCAATTTTTGAGAGCTATGCATTATGCCATAGAAAAGCAGAAAGATGAAATTTTGGAACAACAACAATAAAAAAAAAGACATCTCTATTTTTGTATTAACACGAAATACGATTTTTAATCATGCAAAATGTAAGCAGATATATTTGACCATTAATTTTACTATTACATGTTTTAAGTATTTTACAATAATTCTTAATCTATTTATTTACGCATTAGTAACAATAAGCGAAAAAGAGAGTTAGGAAAAAAATATTAAATAAAAAAGAACTTTTGTACAAAAGAGAGCGTATTTTTAAATTTGACGAGGCGCGTCATTGGCGCTCTCTGTCGGTAAATTGAAGCGCTAAGTTCTCCCACTCTACATACAGTCGTTTAGTCGAAGGTGTGTAGTGGGGATGAAGCTGCGGCATAGGTAACGTAATGCGCATCAGTCAGTTGTTTTGAAGCGGTCGTACGTGTCACTTGGATTACTCGGTTTGCGATTAACGCAGTGTTTTTCTTTTTCTTTTCCCTTGTGGATACGATCGAGATCGTGTTTAAAAGCTAATATTAGATAATATCGTAATATTTCGGTGACAGGCCGTATAAAATATTTAATCATAAATTATTAGTGAGATTTGAAATAACGTTTGGTGAGAGTGTTGTTTTCGAACGATCTCGTCTTATTCATTTTATCTTCGTTTCCATTTATTATTATTACAAAAAGTTAATGATACCAAGATTGTTAAGTCATCAAATTCGTTTCTAAGAAGGATGTTTGATCGCGACACAGCGATACATCTCATTGCCGGAGGGTAAGTTTTGACGCATTTAGATCTAATACTATAACATTCTTATCGTCGTAATATTTTTAATTTATCGTTAATTTTTTGTTCTCGATTATACTTGTTTTATAATTAAATCATTCAACAATTATTTGTTATTCTCATCGAATCGTCGAGATTAACATATGTATGTATTTTCCATCTCCTATGTGTATACACGATGCATTTTGCTGCGCAGTGTGAACCAAACGATTTGATTGGTTATTCCTTTCCGAAACATAACGTCTGGCCCGGTCTCTCCTTGCCCCTCTTCTTTCTCCTCTTCCTTTTGCTTCTAACCTTTTTTCTTTTTTTTCTTTTCACACGACTTTTTTACGTCCAAAAAAACATATGTAAATACATAGTACTGAAGTACCCTTTTTATAAGAAATTTTATTATAATTATTTCATCATTCGTTTTATAAAATGCAATTAATTAGACATTTTAAATAATCGTAACTTAGTAGGTCATTTAGAGATATAAACAATTTTTAACAAAATTTATTTGTCATCTTATTTCTCTTTTCTTCTTCTTTAGATTTTTGCTACTTCTCAAATATTGAATAATTCGAAGAATTAACTGTTTGTTGTCTGATATGTGCGTGCTACGTCGTACTTGTGCATGCAGCTTAATTTATAACCGGTAGATAGAAATTACGTGTCTAGATCATAAACTACTACAAATATCTAGGACGTTTAGACATCGTTTAATAAATATTATCAGTATTCTAATCATTTTCTTAATCAAGAATAGTTTTAATTGAAACTTCTTATCAATTTGTTGGGGATTTGAAAAATGAAAACACTATTGACTTAGGTTAGGTTTTTATCATTATTATTATTATTTATGTTTTCGTATGTAGTTTCGTAAAGAAAGAAAAAAATTGTAGGTAAAAATGATTAATTAAATAATAATTATTGCCAAAATAGTTGTACGCAGAGTATAATATTATTAATTCTAGAAAGTTAACATCAATTCTCCACGGTCTCTTTCACGTAACTCGTATGACGAGAAATAATGTGCGTTTTAATCATTAAAATTGCAACTACAGGTGCAACTATTCTTCTCTACCAACGAACGTAATCATTTTTATTTCATTGAGGTGTCTTATGAAAACGGTAAACAGTTAACATTTGGATATTATAAATCAATGAACCGTTAATAAAAAGTTTGTTTGTATGTTTTTGAACGACAAACGCATATCACACGATCGTCTTTAATTTCTGTCGATTAATCGAAATTCAAGGTTCGTTGGATTGTTTTTCATAGTACTGTGTCGTATTACTTTGAATACAGAATTTATTGCGCATGTTGGTTGGTATATATACAGATTTTTACGTGAAATAAGAATTATTATTTACGCAATAAATATATATTTAATTTCATTCGTGCAATGACAATTAATAAAATGATTGTTTGTTTATAGAAAATGGCGTAATAAAATTCGTTAAAATTTTGGCGCGCAAAAGTTGGCTCACATCTAATAAACATATTGAACGCAGCAGTTATTTTCTTCTTTGCATTTGTTTTTATATATTTTCTTGTCCCTCTTATAGTTAGTCGTGTTTCTTTCGTTATACACATGTGTCATATTTATCGGTTGTTCCCTCTCGTATATATGTACACATGTATGCATTTCTAGTTCCTAGTAAGTAGATTTGATGCGTTGTCTCTCTAGGGTCTTCTCATAAAAATTCTTTTATTTCATTATTTCCAGTCTATGAAATATTTATCAGAAACATCATCTAACATCATTTTTGTATTATTATTATTATTATTATTATTATCAATTTAGAAAATCACACATTTATTTGAAGTTTGCATACACTAGTTACAATCTTGCCATGATCATGCTAGAAAATTTAATACTGCGTTGTTAGAAATCGTGCTGTTATTGTTTTTGTTTACATCGTTCAAGTAAACTTTTTTTCTTTCTCTCCTCTGTAATATATAAAAACACGAGAAATATTGAAGACTCTTATTCTATTAATAATAAAGAGGAATACGATTTTATTTATATTTATTTATTTATTTTTGTTTCTTTTTTTGGGGGTTGTTGAATATAGTGTTGCTGGTACAACAGGAGCTATAGTAACCTGTCCACTCGAAGTGGTTAAAACACGTTTACAATCCTCTTCGTCTGGCTTTCACCCGCCACCAGTGAATAAAGAGTTTACGTCCGGTCATGTCACGTGTAAAAGTTTTCCAACACCGGAGCAAAGGAGGAGACTGTGTACAGGAGGATATCCAAGGTAAGATTATCAAAATAATTTCTATCTATATATATACATATATATATATATCGTATATCAACGTTACAAAAACAATTTAATATTAAACGTTACTTAAACGGAGCTGTAATATTTGAACGAACAGCAAAAGGGTCTTGCCCGTGGAGTTCACGGAACTATGTGAATTAAGGGTTCAAATCGTATATTAATATTTAATTTTTATTCGGTATTATTTTTTGTTTAAAGGTGTTCCTTTCTGGCTCTTTCACATTGCGGCGTGTCGACACCACCAGGTGGTAGTCCACACGCTTATCCAACACCCGGTATTATCCAGTGTATAAGATACATCATTAAAAACGAAGGTGTGCGTGCCCTTTTCCAAGGTCTCGGACCAAATCTTGTTGGTGTTGCACCTTCCAGGGCAATCTACTTCTGTGCATATTCAAAAAGCAAAACGGCTTTTAACACGATACTACCCCCGGACACTCCGATAGTCCACGTATTTTCGGCATTTGGCGCTGGTAAGAACAGAAATTAGATCCTTTTCAAATATATATATCCATATATGCACACACATACACAAGGGTGGATTGAAAAATTTGAAACCTATTTTTGTTTCTAATTATTTTGATGCTATGTCAAATGATAAAAGTGAGTTGCTTCTCTATTAGGCTAAAAACTTTTCAACCCACTCACGTATATATATGCAAAGAAAAAAGAAGAATATATGCAAATTTAAAAGTGTCTCTATGTACATAATATATATACGTTTGAGTAAACGTGTAATGTATAATGTAATTATTTTTATCGTTATTAGTCCGTAAATAGAGAAGATACCATAATAGAAACTAGATAATATATACTAAAAATATTTTGGCTTACTTTTTGGAACGGCGCCGAAATATCGGACGATTTTATCCTTTGAACTCTTGATATACATATATACGTATACGTAACTAGTTATCACGCGTACAAGAACGTGTTTTTAACCTGTTAAGTATTTTCAATTTTACCGATAACTGGTTTATAAACAGTTATATTATTGAAAATTAATAGAAAACAATTTATATATATATATATGTGTGTGTATACTAAACTCGGTTAAACGTTACGCGTTATAAGTAATCGTGTTGCGTGAAAAATTTCTTGGTACAAAGCGATTATTTTTATTTAAGTTTTTATAAACAGTAGAAATCAGTAGCGATGAAAACATTAATTCAATGCTCAATTTAAAGAAAAGAAAAATTAATTTTTAGACGCAAGGAATTTTCATTTTTTTATTATGAAGCGCATTGTACCAGAAATCGCGTTATATGAAAACTTATATCTTTGCCGCGTTATAAGAATTCACGTTATATATATCTACTGTACGTTATAATATATTTGTATATGGGATAGATTGAAGAATTTATATTAAACTAATAAGTAGAAATGATAGTTCATAAGTATAACGTATCCTTCTTCCATCTATCTTGTTTCCTCTCGTATAATTTATCCTATTTTTTTTTTATTTTATTTTATTTTCTCCAAAGATAAGAGTACATAAAACATGCGTTTGTAAACGTCATTTAATTTTTATCTACCGTTAATATCCAGTTTATAATTATGGTGTACTAATCTGCCGACTCGGATAACCTCCGTTATAGTTGAACTGATTTCATATCATCAATTTCAAGAACCGATAGCGTGATCGATTGTTTGATGGAATTTTTTTTTTATTTTTTCTTTTTCGTTATATTTTGTTAGTCAATTGAATTAAATTTGTTTAGATATTCATATTTTATTGAACGTAATTCTGTGTCTTTTATTTGATTATATTTCTTTTCATTTGTAGATCGTATTTTGCAAATTTTTTATATTTTTCTGTTTAGTTAGTATTCGTTTGTCGAAATGAGTAGGACATTTGTTTTTTTTTTTTTTTTGGAGTAATCGTGTTCATGAGTAAAATGTTTGATAAAAAACCGTTCGTAAAGAACGCGTGTTTCTAGATACGTGTGCATATTTGTTTTTATTTTTCTTTTTTCCTTTAAGTTTTCTGTTAGAAATCGGTCAATTTGATAAGAACAATGAATGTCTCTTTCGATGATATTTTTCTTTCTAATTTTCTCTCTCTCTCTCTCTCTATATATATTTATTTTTAAAAATATTTCTTAATACTTTTCTTGAATAAAACAACGTTATTAGTAAAGACCATATAGATAAGTTATCTGTTCTCTTTAAGAGGGAAAATTGAACTTCAACCGGGAATAAGAGATTACCTCCTTCGAAGATTTCTTCGCAGGGTGTCACCGTCTTCATATTTTTTTATACTGATAGTAGTTTTATATATTCGTTTTCAAATTTATTTATTAATTAGAATTCACATATTATTTAGATAGAAAATCTACGAATAGATGTTTGATTTATCGACGAAATGATGACTTTATTTGATTACTTTTTAATTATAGACAAACGATTGTAATTTTATTGAATGTTTTACAGTCAAATAATTTGAAATTTGTGAAAAAAAGGAAAGGAGGGTGAAGAAAAAAATGATTGCTGCACAATGCAATTATCTCGTTATATCCATTTGTTGATATTTTTTTTGTATAGCTCATTGACAATGTATCATTCGGTAAGCCATCCATTCGTTAACTTAATTTCATGATTTATCTATCTTTGATAATGCATATCGTAATCTTTGTCTTTTATTATACAATGGAAATTATAATTCCACAATATAGTAATCGTTAATCTTCATTATTTATTGTATTTTTCTTTTAAAGAGAGAAATCACATTTTGAAAGAATATCATTGGAGAAGCTTAAGATAGAAAATATAAATACTTGCCTTCGTGTTAATGTTCCCTTTTCCCTTTTTTAACACGTGATGATAGTCACGTAGGCATTTCTCATCTTTTATTAAGTCGGTCTTTTAATTTTGTTGACTTAAAAAAGAAATAAAAAACAAAATAGAGATCTTTTACTCTACAGTTTAGTAATTCCATTTTATTTCACAATATTTATTTTTATCTCATTTACGTTTTTACAATAAAATACGATTTATTGCAACGAACTACGACAAAAACTAGAGTTGCGATCGTTTAAAATTTTTTAAGAATAATTTTTATATAAATCATCGGTTTCTAAATTTTTGACAAACGAATATTTTCATGGATAATATAAGGTGAGACAAAAATTGAGTAGATGAAAAAAATTTTTTGAAGAAAAATACAAAAATTCGAAAAAAGATACGATAAAATCAGCGTGACGTCGCATTTAGATTCGATCTCGCATTGTTATTATTAATAAGATATATATTATCTATATGTTTCGCGTGTACGTTCTTCGTCTATCATAGATAATACATAAATTACAAAAACAGGCCACTTATAGCTTGAATTTGATCGCATTACATTATACAATCTCTCATTTTCATTTTTATATGAATACAATGGGCGTTTAAATAAGTCACATGCATGCTTGTGAAATGCATACATATATTTAGAAAATAAGTATATATAAATATATATATATATTCATTATATTATGTGTTCCGATAGAATCTGTTTATTCGCTTGTTTACCAACTCTTAGCTTTGGGTCACCTTGACACTATCTTCTTCGTTTCATCTTCCTCCTCCATCTAGCTCTACCTCCTCCTTTCTCTTCCTCCTCTTCGTATCTACAGATTAGACAGGATGATAATGTATTATATGTGTAGTAGCCCTTTTAAAATCAATTTAGAAATGAACCAGAAATTCTTCCATGTGTCTGAAAATTTGCTTTCGTTTCCACCCCTCTCCCTTTCTCTTCTTCATTCCTTAACCCCCATTTTTTGTTCTTTTTCCCTTCCACGCTCCTTCATCTTCTTCGGGGTCAGGAACAACGACCGAGAGAATGTGTGTGCACGAAGCATTAGATTCTATTTTTAAACAGTCTACTACTTGGCTGTAATTCAATACTCTCTCTTTCTCTATCTTCTTGTACACACAATGTTGTGTGTTAGAAGAGAACTTGTATATTTATTAGAAATGAAAAACATGCCACTACGATCAAAAAAAATGTTAATAAATTTTAAATAGGATTACGTATGCACGATCATTATTATTCTATTGTGCCATGTAATGTGTAATGAGTTTAGAAGGAGTAAAGTTTTTAGGCTTAATTTTTATCTATACGTTTTGTTTACTGATTTTACTTTTTTTTATTTGTACCGCGGACTGAAGATAAGAAAATGTTAAAATTATTAAAATTTGCGTCATTTTTTGTTCATATATTGTATAATATCAGTGGGTTTTTATTATTATTGGTTTTTTTGTTTTGTTTTTTGTTTTTTTTTTTTTCTTTTTAAATACATTTTTTAATTATAAGAATTCCATCGAAGTACTTGATAGCTTATAAATTTATTTTGTTTAACGTGTTTCATATCAACACACGTTTGTAGCAAAAGATATTGCACACAAGTTAGGTATATTTATTTTTAGAATCTCTGATAATGGATGTGTTTGACACAAGGAGAGGTCTATCTACTTTTATCGAGTCAAACACGTTAATGTAACACGGTAATCGTTCGTTCAAGATATGATAGAAAGATAGAACGAATTTCAAACATTTCTTTCGTAATAATTTATTCTAGTACTATAATAATGTATAGCATATATTAGAATAGAATTAAACAAGTAACAATAATTTCTTTCGTAATAATGTTTTTTATAGTACTACTATAATAATTATATGCTATTCAAGATGATATTACAACTTGAACATTATGTAATTTGTTTTTTTTTTTTAAGTGATACTGCTATAAAAAAAATTGAATTACTCACAGGTTAGCAATTGTGGATATTTTTGTTATACTTCCAAGCATAATTATCAAAATACACATAAAACATTAAACGATTGGTCGGAACATTATTATTTATTTTATTTTCATACTTGAGTTCTTCCATCCTTATGAATAACCAATTGAAAGCGTTGAATGATCGTTCAGGAAAGTTCATTAGCGTATATGTACATATATACACACACGCGCGTGCATTATGTATATGTATATGTATATACGTGCAAATTAATTTGTTTAGCACAGTTATCAACGTACGTTCTTTCGTAGCATGTTAAAAGTCCTCCTTTCTTTGTATCAGTTCTTTAAGTATACATACTCTTACACATATGTGTATATGTATAATACGTGCATGTGTTGTTCATGCACGTGTACGGTTTCATTTTGCATGCTCACAATTGAACTTCCCGTGGCGTTGTTACTCTAGTAATAAGATGCATGTATATATGTTGTATGTTATTCTTCGGACAACGTGTCTTCTATCTTGTTTTTCAATTTGGTTGCACGTGAATAAGACGAATAATACATAAAAGTTTGAACGTAGTAAGAAAGTTACTCGTGAAAATTAGCGGCTTTCTTGAAAAATTTCAAATATGCCAAACATGCAATCTTTTTTTTCCTCCTTGATAAAAAAAAAAAAAAAAACGAGATAAGAGGAAAACATAATGAGTTGGTCTATCTTGTTTCGCTTAAAAGTATCACGGAAAATAGTTATTAAATTTAATCAAAATGTTTGTTTACTTTTGTGATAAGCAAAATTGAATGTTCTTTATACATTTTTGAAGAAGTATTATTCTAAAAAAATATTTTTTAAATAAAAACAATTACAATTTTTACGTATTGTATAATAAATTTGAAATTGTATACAATTAATGATGACCCCCGTAATCAGTAAATTACGCAAGTGCATTCTGCAAGTTAATAAAAATTGAAAATTATGATTATTATAACTGTCGTTGCAAAAGTAACCATGTAATTTAAAGTGTTAATATTCCAGAAGAACTCTAAGTTTTATTTGCCTATTTTTATTAAGATATGTTAGAAAAACCTTGTTGTTGTAAACTTATCATTTATTAGCTCCTTCATTAGCTCTATTCTTTCGTCCCTGACCTGTCTTACTTTGTCTAGTCTAAACAGGTAGATATGTATATTTATATATTATATACTGTAACTCTCTATTAACACTTCCTGTTATTCTTCGATCATCTATCTAATCAATATAAATGAGTAGAAATATTTATCCTCATTAATCATAATATTATTACCAATGACAACGAAGTTATATATATATAAAATAAGACCATATATAATATCGAAAAATTAATATCATAAATCAAGATGTAACATTGCAATTTGTTTGTTAATATTTTTCTATAATTTGTTTATTAGATTGCTGAGAAATTTTACTTCCAATTTATATATATTTCTAATGCATATACATTTTTCTAAAAAAAACTAGGACGAGAACTTTCAGGATACTTCTTCGCCGTTAGATTTACAAAAAAATTGTTTAATTTGCATATTGAAAAAATATAAATAGGCAGAAAATTTTTTACCGGCAAAGCAAATAAAACGGAAACGATGACCATTCGTGTTGCATTAAATTGTACTTGTGTCGTAATGTTGTGATTAGCGTAACATAATACGAATATTACCAATACATTGATAAAGAAGATACAAAGAGACGAAGACAAGGATTATAGGTAGAGTATGGCAAATATGTATGAATGTTTATTATATGTGTATGTGTGTGTGTGTGTGTGGTGCATTGCTCCTGTGGTCGGCCTCTAAGTAGGTCAATGGGGCTGCTTTGAGAGACATAAGCCAGTTCGTTCTCTCTCTTTTTCACACACACACACACACACATACTTATTCACTCGAGTTCAGTTTTAAAAGCCAGCAGCTAGCTTTGTAGCTTCGTCGTCGTCGTCGTCGTTGTTGTCGAAGTAAAAGTATGTATCTTATATCGAATAATTGCAAGCTCGTGTATAAGTTTCTCGAAGTTTTCTTCTCTCATTGTTAGCTGTTATCGATCGTTTCCCGACAAACTATAAATTATATAACGAATCTATCTATCTATATGATTGTTTATTCATATCTGTTAATACACAGAACGTTTCCCCCCAATAAGTTGGAATCATTGTAATGTTATATTTAGGATTAAAACATACGAATCAAATTTGTATAAACATATTCCCGATATGATCTTATTTCGCGATATCGTTTATATTGTTTTATATTATATTTATATTAAAATTGAGTCTGCGTATATTTTTTAAATATAGAACAATAAGATACTACGTAATAGTAGAGATATTTACTTATCATATATATATATACAAGCATATATGCACGTATCTATTTATCTATGTTAAGAGAATAAATATATATATACATAAGGGTAGCAAAATTGCTTCAGTTAGCTGTACGATGATAAAAGCGTTACGAAAATAACGATCTAACTAAAAAAACTAAGTAATTGAAAGATCGTTTATATACGTATATATATACATATATTCAAGCTTTTACGCGATAACTTTAATCGAAATGTTTACACGAACTCTTACAGTTCGCAGGATTGGTTATGGTCGGAAAAATTGATTGATAGGATGATGATATAATATTTTTATATACACATATATATTTTCAAGGTAATATATTTATTCGATATTAGTTTATTTCTTGCGGAAACGTCAAATTTAGAACTTGGCATCATAAATATGATCTATGTATGTCCTTCGATCGGTTTTGCCAGAATTTAGTTAAATTTGTGATATCATTTATCCTTCTCGTAAAAAAATATATACATAAGAAAATAAATGATAGTCAAAGGAAAATAGACAAGAACTATTTGAAATAATACGACACGTGTATTTTATATTTCGTTACAGGTTTCGTGGCATGCACATTGACAAATCCTATTTGGTTTATTAAAACCAGACTACAGTTGGATCATCGAACGAACAAAATTACTTCGATAGAATGTATGCGGAGGATATATCGACAATCGGTAAGGATAATCCAATTCGATCTTTATATTTGTTTCCTTTTTCTAAGATTTAATCTATTCAAGGAGATCCTAATATACGCACCTGTGCATTTCATTTTTTTTCTTTTTAATTTCGTTTTTCTCAATTAAAATCGTTGCCTTGTTGAAAAACAAAAATAAAAGAAATTAAAATCTAATAGGTATATAATAAATTTCTTCTCAAGAAGAAAAACATAAAGTTTATCGTAAAAAAGATTTAAAAAGTTCTATTTCCCCAATTAAAAAAAAAAAAAAAAACAAAAATCAAAATGTTGCTTGAAATTAGGTTAATGGTGGTTGGCAGTAGTCATTATTATATTCGTCATCTCTTTTCGATTTTATCGTTGTAAGTCTTTCGCCATCGATATATCTGGATCGTTCATGTTATTTTATTCATACTCTTCTTCTCATTCTCCCTCGGGCAACATTTCTTTCGTCTTTCAATAATTTAATCCAAACTGTCTGTTTTTTTCCCTCGAAAGACAAGATATTTCGAGAGAAGGAACATTTAAGTCTTAATCTTTTTTCTCTCTCTCTCTCTCTCTTTCTTTTTTGTTCATTTAATCGATATAAACACTTGAGTATAAACAACAAGGTGTATAATATTGACTTTGCCATACTCCGTGTATATCGTCATGTATATTCATATTTTCGGCAAACATTGTTTAATCGATCAACGCAATCATTAGGTGTCCATAATACAAACTCCTCTCTGGCTAATTTAAAATTAAAACTCTTCTTCATAGTTTAATCATAATATTCTATAATTAAATACTACGACGCAAATAAATTAAACGAATGAGAGAGAGAGAGAGAGAGAGAAATTAAAAAAAGAAGTTTTCATGCATTTTGCCGATTGCATAAGAAAAATCTATTTTTTTTTTTTTTTTTATTTTTTTTTTTTCGATGTATGTATGTATTTTTTGTTTGCAATCGATTGAAGTTCTTTAATTAGCATCATAATCGTCGTTTGAAATGATAAATGGAAAAAAAAGTAAGAGGGAGGAGGAATGTTGTCTCGACACAGGAAACAATTAAAAAAAAAAAAATAACCAACTCAAATAGGTGTTGTTTGCGAATGCATTTAAATTTTGCGTTGAACTCATATACGCGGGTATGCGTATATATATGTATGTGTATTATTGCTTAGGATTGCGCACACTGATATTAAGATTGTGGTAGTTGGCGGACGTGAGCCAGGTTTAAAATGGTCTTCTTCAACCTACGAATAGTAACTCAAGACAAAAATAATTTTTGCAAAACGCGTCTGGTAGGTGGGCTTCTTCTTCTTCTTTATATCTTCAAGACTATGCGTGGTACGCGTTGAATTAAAATTTCAATTGCAAATACGTAATAAGTATTTTATCCTTGGATATTTGAATTGTATTTCTGATATTTTTTTGTTTTTTTTTTTGGGACTATTTACAGACGGTTACATTACTGGATAGATCCAAAATTTTTAGATGGTCCCCATTCATTTCTAGACTTGTAGTTTTACAATTTTTAGATGAAAATAAGTAGAAACAGTTTCAAAAAAAGAAAAAGTAATTGATTTAAACAAAAAAATATGTTAAGAACTGATTCCACTATGTAATGTCGGAACACGATTGTTATCGATTTACTTCCATATTCGATTTGTTTCAATCATCTTAAAATATTCTCCTTTGATATTTTACTTACATTAGTTTAGTTTAACTAGATTCAATTTTAATCGTTTCCGGTCTATTAACGGCACTAATACGTCAGTATGAACTATCGCACAAAGACGCCAATATAGTATAGTCGTTTATTTTGTGAGCATGCATCGTAAATGCGAACCTGAGAATGCTTCAAGTCAGTAAACATTTGACCAACAATCTAATATTAATACACATCGATGACAATAAACGTCATTATCACGTTTTGTATAATTTAAAAAAAAAATAGAAAAAGGATTGTTTTTTTTTGGCGTATTCACAAATACAAATTTGTAAATTTGAATAATTCGTGAAAATAGATAAAATCTGGCTAACATTGTTTTGATCAATTTACATTCATTTTTATACATATATTTAAATATTTAACAGAGTCGTATAGTTTTAATTGAAAACTCAATTTATCTTTCCAAGTAATTTTTGCGTTTTTATTAATTCGCACATCTGTGTTGTATTTTTTTTTCGTTTATCTCATAAGATCACATTATCAAATAATAAATGAGGATTTAGATTAAAGACACGATTTTATCTCTCTTTAGTTTTCTAACATAATATATAACGCTGTTGAACTTGTAAAAGATTGTATCATGTGTAGATGTGTGCGTTGTGTCTCATTGCCAAGTCCATCATAAATGGACCCCATAGACGATGACGATGACGATGACGACGACGACGACCTTGTTCAGAAACAGCACGTTATTATGTCGAGCTCTTGTGATCGTTCATTCGAGTATAATACTTGTAATTGTTTCAGAGTAGAAAGTCATTTACGACGTTAATGCTCTCTTATAAATAAATTTGTCGATCCTGCAACGCAAAGCTTTTTAATGAAAAACTGTTGAAGAGGGAAAATATTCCTGAACTTTCATTTGAAAATTTCTTTTTACGTAAGAAAGAAAAAAAAATAAATTAGCGGCGGCGGCATATTGCAAAATTGTTGCACAAATTGTTGAGTATAAAAGTGAAATTAAATTTTTATTTAAAAAGAAAAGAAAAAAGAAGTAATATAGAATAGAGTTATATTTAATTATAAGTTGAAGTTAGGGTCGTTTCTTGAATTTTAATCTCAACGATATTTAATATCGTAAAATTATTATTATTTTTTTTTTTTTTTTTTTTTTTTTTTTTTTTTTTTTTTAATTATTTTCCCGCCTTTTTTCAGGGTTTCCTAGGCTTTTATAAGGGTATTGTGGCGTCCTACGTAGGTATAAGTGAGACTGTGATACACTTTGTAATTTACGAAGCTGTAAAGGCATGGCTTGCGGCAAGGACGAGAGTTCCTTCTTCAAGAGGAGACGACAGAAAAACCTTACGTGATTTTATAGAATTTATGGTAGCTGGTTCGTTTTCCAAAACAATCGCTTCAACGATAGCTTATCCTCATGGTAAGAAGAAGAGAATAAAATAAATATTATTTACAACTTTAATTTTTACGTTTAATTACGAATAATAAACAAATCAGGAAATAAAAAATAAATCTATGAGGAAAGTGCGAAAAAATGGCTCTTCCGAGAATAGAACTGTAAGTTCAATATCGCCGTTCTTTTTTCTATAACGTAAATACAGCCTTAAATTCCTTAGCTAAGTATTATTTTCAGTTTATTTTCATTAAATTGAATCATTGTTAAAATAATTCAAAGAGTGGCATTCTTCTTATCTCTTGATTATTTTTCGTCCCGTTGAAAATTTATCTTTTATAAATTTCAAACCTCGAATTTCAACTTGTAAACATATTTATTATCGAATTCAAGGCATTACAAAAAAGTTGTATAATTGAAAATTAATTAATAGCATATCAGATAAATTTAAATTATCACATTAGTATATATATTCAATGATCTTTACAAAGTAATTATGTAATTGCCCGTTGCGTAATAATTATCATTAAATCGTGATAAAATATTCAATATTGATCAAACAAATTATGCTCATTGTACGAATTATTATATTAAGAAAAATGTATCTACTTCTTAAATGCAACTATTGAATATATTCGATTTCAATATTAGAAAGAAAATCGTAGAAGCGTATAGACATTTATATCGTTCGATTTTATATTAATTATAACAGATATATACATTAGTATATACGTGTTAAATCATCACTCTCGTCTATCACTTTTGTAAACGACTGTAAACAAGATTCTGCCAATTGTTCTAAAGATAGTACGAGCCTATATATTTCGCGTGCCAACCATTCAACCAACAATTACGTATTAAACGTATTAGGCTTCCATATCCTATTACTCGAATATAAGGAGTATCATTTAAAAAAGAAATTAAAAAAAAATAAAATAATAAAAATAAATAATACGTAAGAAGGATATAAGTATATAACATGCCTGACAACATATTATTTTACTTATAGAAGTGGCAAGAACACGTTTACGCGAAGAAGGTACAAAGTATCGAACGTTTGGTCAAACTTTACACACCGTATATAATGAAGAAGGAACCAGGGGTTTGTACCGTGGACTTGGAACTCATTTGGTAAGACAGATTCCAAATACAGCTATAATAATGGCCACTTACGAAGCCGTAGTCTACATCCTGATGCGACATTTCCATTCAACTACTGTAAATACAACGAACACAAGGACACAGTTTTATGCTGAGACTAAAGCAAAGAGGGAACTGGCCTAGGATTTGCTAAAAGGTCCTGAATAAAGGGCCTTCATTCTAAATGCTAACGTTCGTGTTCTGAGGGGCCACGTTTCATCAGGTCTTCATTGTCCTCCTCCTCCTCTTCATCCTCATTATCATCGAGGAAATATTAAGAGACACCATGGAAGAGATGACGATGGTGAGACGTCCTTTGGAGCTCAATTACGATTGTTACATTGAAAGTAGCACCAAAAGGTACCACAACGTAGAACAACGCCTCAATCCTCTAGAAAGTCTAGCAAAAAAAGTAGTCCTTCATCCTTTCAGGTAGCAACTAAAACGCGTACGCATGGAATCCTGTTGTCTTGTGTACCTTGTATACCAAACAGGCCAATACCAAGTGAGGGCTGATTTAAAGCTGGAACAATGTGCTGACACACGTTGCTTCTCTTCCTCTTTTCCTCTATCTCTATCTTTATCTTTTTCTCTTTCTCTTTCTCTTATTAATGAAAGTACATTTTTTATCTGTGACGCGGAAATGGGAGATACGTTTACTTTATATTATATTATACATATACATATATGACTCTTTAGAAAAACTATATTCTCCGATAATTTAGGATTTTCTATTCCTTTTTGCAAAGTTGCTGTTCCACCACCATGTATGTGTATTATATTTCAAAGTAATCGACAAACTATATATGGAGAACGAACGAATTGTTCATTGTTAAATTTTCTTTATTTACAAATTTTTATGCTTATAAAATTATATTACGTTATTATTATCATTATATTTGTTTGTATATTTCGTTATATTTGACACGCGAGTAGAAAATAGATTGAAATTTTGTTTTATTTCTTTCTCTGTTATATTGAGAAAAGAGAGATTGTGTTTTAACACAACGAATTCTTTCTTCTTCTTCTTTTTTTTTTATTTTTTATTTTATTCTGTTATTATTATAACAGTAATGTTAATTTTTTGTCAGGAAATTTTTCTTTTTATTTATCTACCTCTCTCTTTATCTCTGGGTGGTAGAAATATCGAACATTAAAATTTGTTGTTTCCTTTAAATATATCTTTACATTTATTATCACATCTCAACAATTTGATTCTTATTAATTAATTTTAATTTGATTATATATTATTTTATATTCAATATTACATTGCAAGATGTAAGAATCTCGAATTGTATTGAATAAATGATTATAATTGAATAATAAAAGAGGCCGTGATAAAATATGCATACTATTCGTTTAAAGCTTGCTGTTATTATTCCGTGTAATATTGAAGATATCGATTATTAATAGGGATAACAAATGATGAAATCAAATCTATTTTGTGAATATAGAAATACACATATTATATCACATGCTGTGTACTAGATATTTAAAAATACGTTTAAACAAAAACTTTACAAAGATTTCTAATCAAAGTACCCCAATGTATTCTTATTTTTCTTTTTCTTTCTTTTCTTTTTGTTCAGCAATTCTTTTTTATTTGTATAGAATGAAAGAACATTGACATGTGTATATATAATAATAAATGGTAGATTTGAGATTGATAGATACACAGTCATTATTACTATTATTATTATTATTATTACTATTAAGATAATATGATGTAAATACACATAAAAATACACATGAAATTCTTATTAAATATTAAGACAATATCATATATTCTGCTGCCTAATAGATTTATTTGCTAATGTTTGGGACAAAATTATATTATATTAAAAATAGAACCAAAATGTTAACATATGCGCATATTTCTAATGATATTAAAGTATTCTATATAATAATAGTATAAATATTGGGTCAACAGTTTCTAAGTGGTTTTTTTAAATCATAAATTTTTTCTTGAAATTTTTTAAGCTAGTTTTCTATTAAGACGGTTAAACTAAGATCCAATATAAAAGAAATTAGTCTATTATGTACATGCATGCATATATACGGACGAAGAATATCAATTGATACTAGTGCATCCTATATATTTGAAATTGGAGAATCAATATACTTATTTAAAAATCAATATCGTTACAAAACTAACTAGTCGTACTATGTATTACCTATATTTTTTTTTTCTCAGGTATACGTTCCACCTACGATCAATGTTCTAGTTTGAAAGAAAAAACAAACAGACTATTAAAATTCTTTGTTCGCGCGAAATGATGAAATCTGCATGAAATGATGCATAAGAGATGAAAAGAAATGAAAATTATTTTTTATCTCATTTATATTTTCCCCCCACAAAAAAAATTTATTATATTTTTAATAGAGCGTAGAATTTCTATATGCAAATTCCATTTTTTTTTATTCATGTTAAATATTCTGTAAAGAAAAATTAATCACAGTGAGATCCAGTATTTTGCGAAATTATTCTAATATACGTTTCATAGAAAATATATTCTATTGAAGGAAAAAAAAGGAACTCTATTAAATTTATATATATTGTATATATATATACAAATATTGTATTGTATTCTAAATATCCCCAAAATAAAAAGAGAATAGGTGCCATTTGAATACATTTGAAATACATACTGCGGTATATAAATGGACGTACAAACGAACTTGTATATATACAATATGTATTTCGATTGAAGTATAGAGATAATAAAATTTAGTGTTGGTTAAAAAAAGAAGAAAAAAGAAAAGAAAGACAAAGAAAATACTAGTATCAAAGTAAAACAAAGGAACAGATAAACGAATTTGCTGAGAGGGTTTATACATACCGCAACATCCAAAAAATATATCTGTATTATTGATATTGTGATATTATCGATGGAATTAAACGAATAAAATATATAATTGATGCTGTTTTTTTTCGCCACCAAAAAAAAAGGAGAATACACTTTCTTATTACAACTAATAAATTTCAATATAATCGTACATTTTTGTTTATTTTTCACAATTCTTACATAATTTCCTTGAAGATTAGTAAGTAGTAATATAAATAAATATATTTGAGATATTGAATGTGTTATAAATATTATATACTGTGATATTTGCTATGTGATATAAAACAATATAAAAATGTCAAGATATAGTAATTTGTTTTTACTTAATTGATTAAAGTGTTACGAACGATACTGGATTAGTTATCTAATCAATGTGTTAATTAATATTAAATATCTTGCCGTATATATTGAAGATCTACTATGGCTAATAAATTAAGTTTTATTAAATGATTATCCGTGTTAATAAATAATTAATGTTTTGATATATTGAAGATTTAGAATGACTTTTGTCTCAATATAAATAATATAATTTTATTTAATAGACTCGTAAAACGTAAGACACTCCATTGCGTCTACAGCTTCAACTAATCTTGCAAGATCAAACGGTGTGTGTCTGATCATATCGATAGATTCAGGATTTGCATTGTAATTTAATAATAATTTAATAATAGTTACGTCATTGTGAAGTGCAGCTAAATGTAATAACGTTCTTCCAGATGTATCCTTTATTTGTGAAACATTAGGATTAGCAATTAAAAATGATTTGAGACGTTTAGCGTTTCCACTTCCAACAATATCAAAAATTTTATATCCTATATTATTTTCGTCTAGTTTAGCACCGTGTTCCAATAAAATGTTAATAATCTATAAATAATATAATACATAATCATTATTATATATATATTTATTTTAATATATTATAAGTGTATGTATATTATACATATGAGCAGGTGATTATAAAAGTGTGATCTACATACAAAATAAACCAATTTATCACATAGTTCACCAACTCATATACGTACATTTTATATTGGCCAAATTGCACATACACACACTCACTCACAAAATTGTGTTGTCGTATAATAAAATTATAATTCACCTCATGATGGTCACCATCAATAGCTTCGATAAGTGGAGTTCGATGATAACGATCCTTTTTATTAACGTCAGCACCCATTTTTAAAAGTTCTTGTACAATATTTAAATTTCCTTGACAACAAGCAATATGAAGAGCAGTTCGACCGTCCACGTTTGTTTGTGAAATGTTAGCACCCTAGAAAAGAAAATAATTCGAAATAATAAAGAAGAAGAAGGAACGAGAAAAAATGATAAGAAAATTGAATATAATCACTTACATATTCCATCAATGATTTTAATTTGTCGATATCGTATTTAACTACTGCCGCATTGAGCATAGTAGGAAAAAGAATGGAGGTCAGTTCTTGAAATTCAACTCTTGAAGATAATTTTAATGACCTCGCTACAGCATTCACTAAATCTGTTTCAAACATGAACGGAAGTTGACTCGATGTTAATTCTCCTCGCAAATTGCTTTGCATTATTCTTTGCTTTTTTTTAATATCCCATTCTTTATTAGATAATACATAAGCTAATTTTGCTAGAGCGGCTTCTGGCGTCATATCAAAACCTGATATTACACCTGTTGACGATAATAAAAGAAAGAAAATAAAAATTTCTAATATGACTCTAATTTATATACATACATATATATATATATACATATATATATTAACCAGTTTCTTCTAATAATTTTCCTGCCTTATAGGTACCCGACACACAACCAGTTGTACATTGTGTAATATTAATAATAATAACACCACGTTCTGTAGCCGCACGAAATTCAGAAAAAATATCATCGCGATTGCTAGGCACGTTACCAGAACCATAGGTTTGCAACACAACACCTTCAGTTGGTGGTTGAAGAAATGCTCTCACTAGATCTGCAGTAATACCAGGAAAAAGTCTCAAGAGACCGACATTTCGATTCAATTTCAAATGTACCGAAAAGTTTCCTGGATTTGAAGGATATTTCGACAAACGATAGTCAACTAAAAAGAATTTTTATTAAATGATCGCTTATTCATTCATTAGTTGTACGTGTATTATCATTTATTTTCAATATAAAAAAAATGTATTAGGTGCAGAAATTAATTCGGTATCTTTTTCAAACAAATTTAATATTTATTTATAAATTAATCGTGCATCTATTATTCTTCGAAATAATTTCCATTATTTTCGATGACTTCGATTCATCTTTCAAGTAACTGGTTTGATAAAAAAACGATAGCGATTTTGATCCAATGAATTTAATATCAAAACACCGAATTAATTTCTACACTTAATATAAAAATCAACAAAATATTATATTTTGTGAAATTTAGAATAAATAATAACGCAACCTTCTATATTTATTCCGGCCGTAGCCAAAGGTGGAAAATTAGGGGAGTGAAATGCATCGAAAGATGTAGCCGATACTTTACTGGTACGATTTCCTCGCATAAGATTCGTTCCAAAATATACGCATACTTCTGGTATACTATAATTGGCAGCTATCACCAAAGAAGTAAGAAAATTATCTATTCCGTCATTTCTTGTATCGAATATTGGAACTTGGGAGCCGGTTAAGATAACTATTTTATCGAGTTCCTCCAACATAAATGACAAAGCGGATGCTGTGTAACTCAAAGTATCCGTTCCATGTAATACCACGAATCCGTCATAATCGTCGTAATATTTCTTTAAAATAGAGAAAGTAATCCAATATTTAATAAAATCTATCACATTGCGTAAATAAATGCGCAATAATTTACTTTGATATCATTAGCAATACGAATCCAATCGTCCATAGTCATGTCACTGGAATCGCAAAGTGGTGAGTATTCTAATACGTCATAGATAACACGACACTTATCCGTAGTTTTAACCCTGGTAGAAAAAAAAACAAATGAATCATATATATATACATTTTATCTTACAAATGATTAATATTAAATAAATGCAAATAGATATATTATGTGTATAAACAATGTGTACTATCTCTTTACGATTAATAATACGCTTACGGTAAAATCAAAGGACCAAAGGAGTTGCTACTCGTTTTGCCATATATTTTCTCGGCATAATTACAATCATGCAGGTGAGAAAATTGTCGTAAATTATTAACAAAAGAATTGGCCTTCGGTATCAACACTAGAACGTTAAAACATATTAATAGAGAGAAAGGGGAAGTAATCCTACACATGCATTCAATATGATTGCATCAAATCAATCGTACATCTTTGTTTACAAATTATAATGTATTATATAATATTAAATAGTATGTATCTTTCAAGAAATTTCGATTATCTTTAAATGTAAATTTTTCGAGAATAGATAATCAGAATAATATGGTCATGCAGGTCAATTTAATTAAAAAAAATATAGGATTCCATTTAAAGAAATATTAATAACGTTGAAATCTTTCACTATAAATCCTTGTACTTTTTAATAAGATCACTCACCGCCTTTTTCATTTCTAATCATTCCTATGGTACCACCGGTGTATAAAACAAGAACCCGACTTTCCGGCTTGACTTCACTTGTTAAATTTTCTTTTACAATCTCATTTTTTTCACTTTCATTTAAATTCATTTCATTTACTTGATCACCGACGGTATCGATTAATGATTTTTGATTATCTTCATTTAAGGTAGATCCTGACATATTGATGCACTAATGAACTATGACGGACTGATAAATATCAATAAAGCCGTTCGATCAAATCAATCGAACTGCTATTACTAAATTCTTAGCTCAAGCACTATACTCATTTCATTCTCGGAAAAGTCACGTTATTTCTTAGATGACTAATTCATCGGGTCCATTATAATTCCTAACACTATATCTATGTTAAATATTTTTGCTCGATATCGTTCGAATAAATTTCAACTTTCGAGCAATCAAAGTAAGATTATTTCTTATTGCGTCATACCTACATTACATAAGTTACATATAAGTTTGCAATAACGTTCGATTTTATGAATATTAATATTAAATAAATAGATATAATTTACACCTTTATAAATTATACGTATCTATATATATATATATATACTTAGACATGAAAAGAAACAAAACATTCTTCGTTATTTTACTTATTGTTAGAATATTTGCTATCACCAATTTTATGCAATCATTGATAACTTATTTCCCAATTACGATTATTCTCTTAAAATTGCTCGTGCTTTTCTATTTTGATTGCATTAAATTATTATCACATAATATAATGTAATAAAATATTGTGCATATTCTATTTATAGGTATATATATAAATATTATTTTTTTAACATATCTGATAATAATAGAAAATTATACATGTATAGAATATATTGTATAATCTAGAAAATTATAAAATGATTATACAAAAACTTTTGAACTCACCCTCGTATTATATATGTGATAACGTTTTTATTTATTTAGATTACAATAATATCAAATACTTTGTTAAATATTTTAATATATAGTTTTATATTCTGATTACATTTTGAAATGACATTGAATTTAAAGATTTACAGGATTTTGAAAATGGCGCTTTAATGACGTCACGTTTAAATGCTCATTCCATTGGATCGATCATCTGTGTAAGAAACATATGTGTAGTAAATGTGTTACGAATTACACATATAGCCACTATAGAATAAACAAGAATAAAGTATATCAAAGTATGTGATAGAGATAAAAAATATATTTAATTTATAAAATAATTAATTAATGTTTATAGTTTGTTCAAAGATTTATAACATTAATCGAGATTAAGTGATAAAAAAAGATGGATATTGCAAAATCTTTTTTTAACGTACGCAATCATGAAGGTTATGTTGGAAAAGAAGATCATAATGTAAATATTTTTATTGTTTATTATATAGCAAGATTTTATTATAATTATTATTATGTATCACGTATATACACATAATTGTATATATATATAATCTATTGTATGTATATATCATCTATTTACAAGCAAGTAATTAAACTAATTTGTCTTAGAAAAAGTTAGAAATAAGCCTGTCGGAAGATGAATTGGAAGCAGGAGAGAAGAATTCAAGAGAACATTTGTCACCTGTACCTGGTGAACCATTTTCTGCTTTAACATCATCCATGTGGCCGCAAGATATTTTAGCTAAATTGAATCAACCGGATGATCCTAATTCCCAACCCGAGTATAGGTATTACTACAGAAATTATTTTAGATTTAATATTTTTCCATATATTTTAATATATTTCTTTTATATAGTATTGTAATTATGTGAATATATTTTATTGTATTAAAAATTAAAATATTATGTTGTAGGTTTGATGAATTTGGTTTTCGTGTAGAAGAAGAAGACGGACCAGAACAAAGTTCAAAAAAAATTCTTGGCATACCTTTTGTAGAGGATCCTCAACATAGGTATCAATAAAAAGAATTGAATTATTTTTAACCCTTTGCTCTCTATGATTTAATATATGAAGATACATGCCATATACAGTGCTATATTTCATGCTAAATTTATTCTAATTTATTTTTATGCTTTCAGATTACAATGGGTTGCTCTTTTGGAATTCAGTAATAATAAGGAAGATTCTGATTTTTCATGGCAAAATGTTAATCATAGATTATCCCGTACTGATAAATTACGTGACATGGTTCACCGTGGTATACCACATTCTCTTCGCCCTCAAATTTGGATGAAAATGTCTGGTAATACATGACATTAAATCTGATTATTTAAATATATTTATATTTTGTCTGAAAAGAATATAATATAAATTTTATTTTGTTTTATTTTTATTTATTAATAAAAATAATTTATATTGCAATTCAACAGGTGCATTACACAAAAAGCATATCTCAGAAATGATGTATAAAGATATAGTAAGAGCATCTAGTAGTGACGTACTTGTGACTAATAAACAAATAGAAAAAGATCTTCTTCGTATTATGCCTGCAAATGCATGTTTTAGTCATCTTCATAGTACAGGAATACCACGTTTACGAAGAGTTATGCGTACTCTTGCATGGTTATATCCAGATATTGGGTAAGGATAACACATATATGAACACAAATTAAAGCGATTAACTTCAGTTTTAGAATTTTATGGAAATAATCGATTTGGCAAATGAATGGTTTATTTAATATTATTGTAATATTAAAAAATAATATATATTACGTTTATATTGTTAAGGTATTGTCAAGGTACTGGTATAATAGCTGCCTCACTATTACTCTTATTAGAAGAAGAGGATGCATTTTGGATGATGGCAACTATAGTTGAAGATCTATTACCTGCTTCATATTATTCAGCAACATTATTAGGTAATACATTTTCTATAAACACTTCTTTTACAGTTAAATTTTATTCTCTATCATAAATGATATTAATTGTTATAATTATATAATCAAATATATTATTATATATTCTTGCAAAACAGGAGTTCAAGCGGATCAAAGAGTTCTACGCACATTAGTATCTAATTATTTACCAGATATCGATCATGTATTAGAACAACATGATATAGAATTAAGTTTAATATCTCTACACTGGTTTCTCACATTATTTGCATCGGTTGTACATATGAAGATTCTATTACGAGTATGGGATTTATTTCTTTTCGATGGTTCTATTGTCTTATTTCAAATTACTCTTGGAATGTTAAAGATGAAAGGTATTAAAAAAAATTATAATATGTTTTATTAAAGCATATAATTAAAATATGAAAATCATATTATTATAGAAGTAGAACTGAAACAACTTGAAAACTCTGCACAAATATTTAATGCTCTTTCGGATATACCTGGAGATATTGATGACGTAGATCAATTATTTCGTGTAAGTTAAATAATATAATAATTTTATTTTTTCTATTATATATTTATATATAATAAAATTAATATTAAATTTTATATAGATATCATTAGAAGTAAGTGGATCATTAACTGACGTTTTAATCGAAACTCATAGGCGACGTCATTTAGCATATTTAATGGCTGATCAAGGTGCATTAGTTGGCAATCCAGATTCAATGCCAAATTTACCAAAACATCATTTAAATAGGTAAATAATTTAACTTTATTTTTCAAATAAAACATAGATTATATTTATAATATTCATATATTAAAATAATGGATTTTTAAGGCGTCAGATAAAAAGAAGTAAATCAATGTTACAAACATTTTTGTTTGGAAATGATAATGAAGAAGATGACGCAAAATCAAAAAATATTCATCAAACTGGTTTGTTATTTTACATTTTTAATTATTTGCTTCAAGTACATATTTATTTGTACATATTTTTATATTGTTTCAGAAATTCTGGTTGATTTGAGAGAATCTATATTACAAGTTGCAAGACACTTTATAAATGTTGATCCCAAATTAAATAATGTTATGCTTATAGCGGATTACAGAATGGAAAGTCATGCAGAAGATCATGATAGTTATATAAATGTATCGCGTACTAGAAAAAGAAGAGCTAAAGCATTATTGGGTATAAATTATTTAATAGAAATAAGATAATTATATATAAAAATATCAATAAATGCGAATCTTTGGATAATTTATAGATTTTGAAAGGCATGATGACGATGAACTTGGATTTCGTAAAAATGATATAATTACCATTATTAGCCAAAAAGATGAACACTGTTGGGTAGGAGAACTCAATGGACTTAGGGGTAACATATATGTGAAAGATATATTATAATAATTAATTTTCTTACGTTTATTTTATTGTTTAAGGTTATTTTTTTTTTTGTAACACAACCTATATGTATTCAATTCGCTATTCTTTAAATATTACATTTAAGTTTATTTGTAGGCTGGTTTCCTGCTAAATTTGTTGAATTATTGGATGAACGAAGCAAACAATATACATGCGCAGGTGATGATGCAGTCAGTAAGGCTGTTACAGATTTAGTAAGAGGTTCTTTATGTCCTTCTATAAAAGCAGTATTAGAACATGGAATGCGAAAACCATCGTTCTTAGGAGGTCCATGTCATCCATGGCTTTTTATAGAAGAAGCTTCTAGTAGAGAGATAGAAAAGGATTTCAATTCTGTGTACAGTCGGTTGGTACTTTGTAAAACATATAGGCTGGATGAAGATGGTAAAGTTTTAACACCTGAAGAAGTAAGTTTTTGAAAATAATTTTTACTTATGTTTTTACTTTTCAAATTTACACAGTAAATAATGATAAGTAATTGTTTTAACTTTAGTTATTATATCGATGTGTACAGTCCATAAACTTGTCACATGATAATGCACATGCACAAATGGATGTTAAATTACGTTCATTAATTTGTCTTGGATTAAATGAACAAGTCTTACATCTATGGCTTGAAGTTTTGTGTTCTTGTGTAGAGGTAGTACAAAAATGGTACGGATTAAAAATATTAATACCATGAAATAAGTACGAAAATTCTATATATTTTTACTTCGTATCATATTGTTAATACGTTTAATGATGAATTTAGGTATTTTCCATGGAGTTTCATAAATAGTCCAGGATGGGTACAGATAAAATGTGAATTAAGAATACTTAGTCAATTTGCATTTAATTTAAATCCCGATTGGGAATTGCCAATAAAAAAGGAACAATCTCAACCTTTGAAAGATGGTGTTCGAGATATGCTAGTCAAACATCATTTATTTAGTTGGGATCTTTAGTGTATAATTTTTAAATAAATGTTAATATATCTGAATTATATTAAAGATATAAAAAGAAATCACATTATAAGCTGCAAGAAAGATTCCCATTAAAGAAATTATAGATAAATAATTTATAATTATATAATTAATTATGTATATGTAAATTATTATGTTAGAAATTTATTTAGACAAAAAC